TTTCTAGAAGCACTGAGTATGTTTAGAGAAGAAGGAAGGGATTTTGGTTTATTTCTGGTTTCCACCCTCCGGCATGGATTTTGTCTGGAAGCAGCGGGACTTGCAAACCCAGTGGAGGTCTCCAGGGCAGGGTCGTGCCCATCACAGACTGCTACGACAACACTGGAACTGGCCAGGGCTGAGCTCTTTGTAAGGGAGAACAAGGGGCTGCCCCGGACGGCAGCTGGAGCCCTCCCCGCGGGACTGTGGCACAGCGTAGCAACAAAAATACCGTCCCTAATAAACTTCAGTTTTAACAAGGGGCCCGGTTGTGTTGTGGCCTCCTTTCAGGTGGGGTAACAGTGGTTGTCCCTACCTCGGGGTCAGGGCTGCAGTGCCTATCGGCCCCTGGGGCAGGGAGGGAGCGGGATATGCCAGGGAGGACAACGTGTGCCACTGGTGATACAGCAACAGATGCCACTGGGAGGAGGTTATTGTCACCACCCCTTGGCTAATCCCTCTGGGTTGTGGCCTCCCCCTGCAAAACGCCCACTGGACTTGGGCAGGAGGTACAAGCCACTGAGTAAGAGGCTCCCTAATGCCTGTCCCTGCTTGTATCCCTGTCCTGCTCAGCCTGGCTCTCCCCTCGCAGCAGTGTCACATCGCCCCACAAACACCACAGACACAGGAGATGCAAACTGTAAACTAGAACAACTGTTGAAGAATGCATGTGCAAGCCCAGCACAGCGCTGGCTCCACACAGGCCCAAGCAGGGCTTCCCTTTGGGCAGCACGGCATCGGGAGCCAGCTGCTGGGGGCTTTTCCCTGGAAAAGTCCTGCTCAACCATGATCTAAGCTGTGGTTAGCAGCAGCAACGGCGATTTGGGCTTATTCCTGAGTACAGTGGTGGTAGAAAAAGCTTCTGGCAGGCACGACACGCAGAGGATGGGCTCTCGCAGCTGCCAGCAGACCCGTGGCAGCAGGAGGGGCTCAGCTGCCCCAGCACAGCAGCTCGAGCAGGTGGTGATGCCAGAGAACAGAGACCTGCAAAACCACGGGGCTTGCTGCTGTTACAGTGAGCCCCCAACAGTGCCCAGGGCGATCCCTGGCCAAGGATGGAGCTGGCCCCTTGGCAAAGCACCCAGCATGGAGGGGCAGGAGCAATCTCAAGCCGTGCTGTGCCCGTCCTTGGGGGCGTAGCGACGCTCGAACTGGCCCACATCGAACTTGCGCTTGCAGCCGGCGTAGTTCATGTAGCGGATCTTCCCAAAGATGGCCCGCTCGGCCCAGCCCTGGTCGTGTATGCCGCAGATGGACCACAGGCAGCCTGCTGGGAGCGGGGACCAAGTGTCAGCTCTTGCCCCTTCCTCGGAGGCAGATGGAGAGCTGGGATGTGGGTGCAAAGCAGGATGGGCTGAAGTAGGGGCTGGGTTGTTTGCAGAGAGCCCTCCCCACCTCCCACCAGCCTTGGCCATCAGAGATCCGACCACTGCCCCACCGCCCCATCCTGCAGCTTGCCTACGTATCCGTTGGGGTCCCTCCCGTCCAGCTCGTAGCGGTCGTTGAGGTAGATGGCAAACCGCAGGGCCTCCTCGGGAGAGCGGGTCCACTCCAGGATCTTCTTGGCCCAGTACATCCGCAGGAAGCCGTGCATCTTGCCCTCCCGGACCATTTGGAGCTGGGGGGAGTCAGGGACAGCCGCAAGGGGTCAGTCTGTGCCAGCTCGCCTGTCCCTGAGGCTCAGCATTATGCGGGGGAGATGTAGGGCAGTACCTGTGCAGCATTCCAGAGCGGGTCATGCGTGGTTCCCTGCTCCAGCTCCTGCAGCTTGTAGAGAAAAGGCCTCTTGTCTTTGGCATGGAGCTTCAGGGTGGTTTGTGCCCAGTCGTAGGCACCTGTGAGCAAGAGAGATGAGGAGCAACACTGAGCAACTCACTCCTGCAGTGCCCCGAGGAAGGGATTGGGCTACCAAGGGCACCGTGCACAGGAGGGACCAGCTCCTGTCCTACCTCCAGAAGGTACCAAATTATGGCACATTAGTGCCCCACAGCCCCTCTCCTAACAGAAGCGGGGGTTGCCAAGTTGGAGTGACCTGCTGGGTACCAGCCCATCCCCAGTGTTGCCCACCCAAGCCGGGATGCTACCTTGCACGCTGTCGTAGTTCTCGTTGTAGTAGCAGAAGTTTTCAGCCAGCTCCCGCCGCACCACAGCCTCCTCCACGAACGCATCCACTGACTCCTTGTACTTGCCCTTGAGCTTCTGCACCTCCAGGATGGCTCGCTGGGTGGAAACCTGGCCTAGGGACATGGAGAGGGAGAAGATCAGGCTGCTGGTCTGAGCCACCGGGCTTGGACGTGCTGCAGAATAGGAAGCCTGGCATGCTCACCGAAGTGGAACCACGGGGACAGGTTGCTGAGTGCCGCCTTGTTGGGGTCATTCCGGTGGGAGCCAAAGGATCCCAGCCGCTCTGTGATGAAGGACTGCAGCACAGCCAGCCCCGCAGCTGTGCCGGGGGTCGCCCACTCCACCTCCTTCACGGTGTGGTCCACCTCCAAGCTGGAATAACAGGCCTCCCAAGCGATGGGCTGGGTGGCAACCAAGCAGTGTGAGTGCATTTACAGATGCTCTTCAGCCAGGGCTGCCCTGAGCATTACGTCCCCTGGATATCCCCAACCACTAAGTCCCCAGCTCAAGCCAGCCTTCTCTTAATCAGCCCTGCATGGCAGAGATGTGCGAACTGAATGAATGTGGTGGAACTTCCCTTCCCCAGGGCATCCCCATCTCCACACCACCTGCGCATAACCTCAGGCAGGTCACAGTCCCCATCCCCTGCTGTCCCCTCCCAGGATCACGAAGCAGCTGTGGAATTCTCTGGGACTAGCCACAAGTGGGTGTGGAGGTGTCGCCTGCTGGTACCTCTGCTGGGCAGGAAGGGGGATATGGGTGATGAATGACGGGAGGAAACTCGGTGAGGAACTCAGGAAGCTGAGTGTGGATCTTGCCCCGGATGGTCCTGGCGCTGTACTCCTGCTTGGGGGAGGCGACCCAGCAGGGCACAATATTATGGGCATCAACCTGGAAAGCAAAGCCACGGAGGAGGGTGTGAGCAGCAGAAGCAAACCGTCCCAATGCCATGACACAGATGTTCTCTGCTCAGGTGACTCCAGCATACCTCTGCAGGCATGAAACATGGGAGACAAATTCCTCCCATGTCTCACTAGCCAGACCTTTCACCTCCCAGAGCACGGGCACCCACCTGCGCAAACGGCACATCCTCTGGCAAGCCCTCCCTTACGGCCTCCACCCACTGCCGGGGCAGGCGGAGGGGGCAGAAGTCTGTCACCAGCCCCCCCACGCCATGCTCCACCACGAAGGCGGGCAGCACGTCCTTGGCGTAGCCCAGCAGCAAGTGGAAGGGGATGTTCAGCTCTGCGCACTCCTGCAGCGAGGGGGAAAGGGCTATGGGATAGTTCATGCCTCTGCAGACCCCATCCCACCACCATCTGCTGAAGGTCTGGATCTGCCTCCCCCTCTTCCCCAGGAGCCCTGTCCCACCCAGCGGGGACATCCCCACCGCAGCCGTACCTCGGCCACCTCCTGCAGACCCCTCAGCATGAAGTCATAGTGGCGGATGGTGGCATCCAGGAATTTGGGTACCAGGCAGAAGCAGACGTGCAGAGGCAGCTCCTGTTTGAGGGCCAGACGCTGGGCGTAGAGGAAAGCCCAGTTATCTGTGGAGAAAGCGCACGGGGAAGTATCAGGGGGATGCTCTGGGATGGAGATGGAGTTTTGTGGGAGGAATCCCCTGAGTCTTCCCAGCTCCAACACCTACCGTGGGAAGGGACCAAGCCTTTTGCCCCAGGAGCTCTGCTCCCCAGCCCCCTGCACCAGCTGGTTCGTACCTTGCACCCGCTGGTCCCGGGACATCCAGTAAAGGATGCACCGAGCATCATCCTTCAGGTCCGAGCCCTGCGAGACGAGACGAACCCGCTTTTTGTTATACTTGAACTCTCGCACAGACGGGGCTGCTCTCCGCCGGGCCTCCTGGAACGCATCCTCTTCCTCCTTCCTCCTCCGAGACACGCGTGGCAGCTCCGTGGCCTCGGCCTTCCTCTTCCCTTGCCCACGCCGCATCCTTAGGATGGCCCGGGCCGGCGCCCGGAGCAGCGTGGTTGCGTGCGGCCGCTGCGAGGGGGGAAACGGGACCGAACTGAGCTTCCGGTGCCCTGCCCATCC